AGAGAGCAGCATTCTGCTGCTGGAATTGCACAATTTGTGCTTCCGAGTGGCGGGCCGTTTGGTCCCACTGTCCTCCAGGCTGGGTCGCTTGCAACGGAGTTTGGTAGTTCTGTTGCAGCATGTTGTAGCCGTTGCGCAGGGCGTTGGTCTCGTCCTGCAGGTTGGCCAGATCGTCGGTTAGGCGATCGTTGTCGATTTGGAGACGGTCCGTCTCCTCATCAGTTTGGTCAATGGTGACCCTGGCTTGGTGCAGGTCAGATTTGGCCTGGGTCAGCTCGGTCCTCGTTGAGGCGAGCAGGAATTCCAGCCCCGCCACCGCCACTTCTAGGCGGTGAATGTCCTTGTTGAGCTGGTCGCGCTCAGCATCGGGACACGGGGCCAACTTGAGTTTGGTCAACTCAAGTTGCGCCTGGGCCTGTAGGGCCAAGGCACGTTTGGCCTCGGCATCCGATTTGGATGCGAGGTTCTTGTACTTGTCGATCATATCGTTCATGTGTTCCTCTGCTGAGAGGGCCACGACATTTGCGGCGACAAGCTATTTGGTCAGGTCCCGCACTCTGGTCCTGAGGACTTCGTTGTCCTCGATTTCCTCCGGCGGGGTTGCCTGGATCAGCTTGTCTGGACTGAATGTGGCGCGGCTTATGTCGAAGGCGGACTGGTTCAAGTCAATGCCTGCCGCGGTCCTGGTCAGATGTCCCAGGTCCAATGGTGGGAGGTTGGGTCCGGGCTCTGACGTCATCGGTTGGTGATGGCGTCGGTTGGTTCGAGCCATTGGCTTCGAACATGATTGGCGACTGACTCATGAGCGGTTGGCCCTGGTCATGTCCCATTGGACCAGGCTTTTGGCCTTGGTCCTGCGCCTTGCGCCCACCTTTGGTCACCGTTGGTGCCTCAGGTTGGATCTGGTCCGAGCCCGGTAGGGTTGGACTTGATATCAGATCCTGGGCCACAAGGTTGGACCGGGCCAAGTTATTGGCACCGGGTTCGACTGGTGTCTTATCCTCACCTGTGGCCACCGTTGGTGCCGCAGGTTGGACTTGGCCCGGACCAGGTGTGGCCGGTTGGTGCGCCAAGTCCCGAGGGACACTATTGGCCTGGGCCGAGTTATCGGCACCAGGTTGGCTGTCCTTCGGCGAGTTGGCCGCGGACAGCGCCTCGCGCGCTTCCAGGAATGTATCGTCCATGGTGGCGTCGAGGCTTTCCCCGCTTGTGTCCAAGTCGGGTGGCAGGATTTGTTTGTCCCGCCTTTCTTTGGCCTCGACCGAACTCGTTGAGCCGGCCGAGTTTGGCTGGTCCGGGTCAGCATCAGCCTGGCCGGCGGTGCGAAAGGTGTATCGCCCCGCCGCGCCGCGCATTGAGTAGTTTTTACCCAATGGCTTCTTGTAATCATTGGTCTGGCGCCCGTCCATAGGACTGAACAATCTCCGTTGGAGTTGTTCATGGCTGGTGTATGGCATCACCTTGGCCAAGGCGCTCTGAGTTTGGCCCATGGTAGTGGGACTTAGAAGTTTCTTTGGTCTTGGTCTTTGGGTCAGGACCGGAACGTTGGCTCAGGTCCGGATCGCGGGTCGATGCTGGTCAGGCGTGCTAGAGCTCAGGTTTAGCGTTAGCTTCCTATGGCCCTATGTTACGTTACTGACCAGTGTGACGTCACGTACCTAGTGGTCTTGCGATTAGCTCTACGTCACGAGTAGCGTGCCGTGAGCAAAAGTGAAAAAAACAATATGACTCACTACGAGTCTTATAGCATTGGGAACTTTCCCGAATATGCTGATTGGTCGATTTTTATACGGAAGTAAACCACTCTGACGTCACGCGACTTTTCGCGAAATTTCTGGCTGGACAAAATGGCGGTTGTTTTCGCCGAAAAAATTCAAGAAAAATCGGGGAAAATTTTTTCGAGAGTAAAACTACACAATTCTAGTGCAGAATTTCACGAGGAATCCGAAAATGCAGGTTCTATGCAGATCGGTTGAAAGGTTCAAAAGTTATTGAATTTTAAAGGTTAGGTTCTATGGAAAACCCCGAATTTTTCGAAAGTTCTTCAAAAACCTACGACGCCACAGCAGGTCTTACCGGTCGGTTTTTCGTCCAGACAGTGCTGCTCCGTCGTCCACTTCACCCTCTTCAACCGTGAGGGCCGCAGCGTACCCGATAGGGCGCAATGGACAGTCTGCAACGTACCGAACGCAGTTTTTGCGCCGGGAGCCAAGCTGTGGGGGGTCTACTTATAGGCCGCGACCCGGATCAATGCAACCCGGTAGGGTGCTTATTTGGTCAACAGCGACGTACCGAACGCAGTTTTTGCGCCGGGAGCCAAAGCTGCGGGGGGCCTACTTATAGGCCGCGACCCGTATGATTAAATCCGTCGCGTGGCAGGCTTCCAGTGAAGCCTGTATGATCAGAAAGATGAGGTCGCAGGATCACAGGACTACTTATAGTCGCTGTGGCAGGACTGCTTTTAGTCGCTGCGTAGTTCGACCGAGATGATGCCTCCACTGGGGTTCAGAGATCCGTCGGAAAGAATACCGAACGATACTGCTACCATGTCAGATATGACACAGAAGCAGAGAGCAAAAAGGGAGCAAATATCTCTCCTTTATTGTGAAGCAATAAAGCAACCAACAAAAACAACCAACAGAAAAACCAATGCGGAAAAGCTGTGGTGAAAGTGGCTGCCAGCGAGAAAATCAACGTAATGCCGCGGCATGCAGCAGGTGAATCACAGCTGGTACCGCAAAGCATGGAATCGCTCGTAAGCGCTGGGCCACACCTCCAAAGTGCATAGCGACGCTTATTGGTCAGCGTGGACAAAGTATACGCTGACGTTATCAGCGTATATGAGCGGCACGAATGGCGTGGCCATAAGCGTGCGGGCGACAGAGCAAACCACAAGAGGTGTCTACCGCCTCGAGTGAGCGGTCTCTGACATCATGAACTTTTAGTTGACTAAAAGTTTAAACCGAGTCAATTTTAGCTACCAAAACTTGAAGGTTAACCGGGGTTAACGAAATTTTTTTTGGCATTTTTTTCCCAATGAAACTACGGGAAAATTACCTTATATCGCTCAAGTACGGAACTGTATATAACCTGCACCCGGGCGTAGAGGTCTTTCGCAGTTGCAGAGTGCATGCAGCAGCAAGCGGCTGTATGCGTATGCGGGCGGTTGAAAGTGTGACATTCTGCCTAATTGGCCCCCTTACCAGCTACAATCAAACCACCGTAGTTAATACGGCCTGTTTTTATTTTACTGTCGCAATTTTTTACCATGATATTAACGGGTAATTTAACGGGTTAAATGCTGTGAAATTTGTGATTGTGGCTTTATTGACTTGACTTCAGACTTTAGCTCTAGCATGTGTTTTACGGATGGTTCATAAATGCCGATAATAGAGTAGGCAACATTAGTATCGTGATCTGGGTACATGAAACCGTATGAAAATAAAATCATAAAAAAATTATTTTAATTATAAGAATTATATAATTATTAGTTTCCGTTAACTTTGGTTAACCGACTAAGAATTTTAACCAAACCACTTTTAGTCGCTAGAAGTTTCAGCCAAGAAAATTTAGCTGACTAAAAGTTTTAACCAAGCCAAGCCGATTTAGGCGGCTAAAGCTTTTAACCAAGTTTTTAGTTTAACCGAATTTAGTTTAGCTTAGTTTTTCCATCACTAATTACTGCTCTTCTCTACTGCTATGTCATCGTACGTGGTGCGCATTCGATTTTATGCCCTAATCTTACGTGATGCCTCGGCAGTACATATTTTATGACTCGTCAATTGCCGTTATGGATTCTTTGCGGTATTGCCTTTATTCTAATGGCACATTTGCGTAGATTTTCACCGATGAGAACAAGCAGCACTTCGCGGAGGATTATGCCATTATGGATGGACAGCTGGTTATTAGCACGATCTCCGTGGCTTTCTCGCTGATTGCTCTGGGCTACGATTATCTCTTCCCTTTTCCAGCATCCAAATGGGTCTTGGCGTTCTGTTCCATCTCGTATTTTATCACCGTTGGCTGCCCGACACTGTATTTGTGGTGCGTCGAAAAAGGAGTGTTTTTGGTGTTCAAGGAGGGCAAGAACATCTGGAAGGCCACGTCCAACTTGAAAAAGTATGCGTGACGCAGCGTGAGTATGACCGGGATATGTGTTTTTGTGTATGTGTTAGTTCTCACTTAATTGGTATCTTACTCGTAGGTATTGTAATGGTGTGCAAAAATCTGAGGGGCAAGATTTGACGTGGTTAACCACTTAGACAGTTTTCGAAGCACTGAAAAATAATCGCCCTTACACGAACTTGATTAACTAAGGAACTTTGGAATTGATTTCTATTTTTACTACTGACAGAATTTATTTTATTTGCTGTCCATTTTCGTTGAATATCATGAGGACTGATGTCGCCCGCGTGAGATACAAAAATAATTAACGATGTAAGTAGATGATTTAAGCGCTAAATATGATGTAAATACGTTTTTATGGTCTCTGTAGACCTTCATACTTTTTGCATGCGCGGTGCACTAAACTAACTGAGCTCCTCATGCAGAACTAGCGTTGTTTTTGTTCGGAATCTCTGGTTTGTCCTTGTGCTTTTCCCAGCTGGACTGAACTTTTTGGAATTCAATATTTTTTGGTTTTGCAGATACGACCATATGTATACTTTGAAGCTGATGCGCCAGACAGAAGGAGCGAAACAGCCCGGCAAGGAACAGGAACTGAAGAAATCCGTTGCTGAATTTTTCGATGAAAAGGGAAATCTGGTCTTTAGTCGTTTTGAGAATGAAGTGATGTATCTCTTCCGCAGTATTACAGACAAAAAAACGAAATAATTGTCCCAGCTTTAATTTTTATGCCAGGTCTTGATGCTGTTTTTTTATTGTCTTCTATTTCCGGGCAGGCATGCTATTTTCTATAGCATTTGCAGCATTTGCCGTTCCCTGCTTTGTATTTGGTCTACAAGTAGCAGCATTCCCATGAAATCTTTATCATTGTGACTTTATTTGACAAGTAAGAACAACAGTATGTCATATCCCACTCGTGTCCCTGTTTCCGCCAGCACGCTTCGCATTAATACAATGACAGACTTGCAACGATAACGTTCAAACGATTAAAATTGTTACAGCTTAAAAACAGACTAATAAAACTGTTTCCAATACTCAAATAAGTTAATTCTATCTCATCGTGCGTTTCCTTAACATCAGCAGAAGTACACAACATGCGCAAATTATACCAGTTAATTTTACAGTCGATCTACTCTTTTCTGGCAAGCTTCCTTCCAACTTTCAAAGGCTCAGCCGAAAACTGACGAAGGTGGAAATAGAGGGCAAACAATATAAAATGTCCACAAGCATATACACTGAGCAAGAGTGGCCGGAGATCGGGCAGCCGAGGATAAACTGGTGCGAAACACGCTAGCGATAAACAAGCAAATCCGGACAGAGACAAATCAATACCATCTGCAACAGGGAAAAATTCTAAATTCAACGCATTAAAAAGAAACACGAGCTGTCGGCTGCAAAACCAATATGAGTTATTAAAAAAAATTGCAAATGCAACAAGAGCCAAAAGCTGGTGCTCTTGGCCGGTGATATATTGTTCGAATTTCTCTTGGACCGACAAACAGAGCGCTAACATTTATGGGCAGATGTTCTGTCACTAAAACATAAAATACAAACTACCTAAGTACTCGCATTTGTTTTGTAACCGTTGTTCGTTACTGTTTCACTGACTTACGAGAGCCGTAAATAAATCATACTGGATTGCTTCCGTTTCATCGCGATCTCTATCTTCCGGCTCCTTGAACTTCCAGAGAATAAATGCATAGCTGAAGGCCATAAAAAGACTATCAGATCGCTACATGACTATCAGATCGCTACATCTCAGCATACCGCTACATCTCAGCTCTCTGCCGGCTGATCCAAAAAGGCTACCTTTTGAAAGAAGTTTAGTGACGTAGTTGCACATACCCCAGGAACAGCACAGTGCCAGTGTCTTGAAACATACGCTGTTCGCATATTGACAAACAGATAATAGTTTAATAATACTGACGTACAAAAACGATGCTCCAACCACAAAATAGAGGAATTTAATATTTTCTATGAAGTATGTGGAATGTCACGCATCAATTACATATCAAAATAGTACGTAAAGCGCAACTACACATGCTGCTGCTCAGGTACCAAAGTGGTCCAGATCGGTGAAGTGATGTTGTTACTTACAGTGAATAATACTTATTACAACTCCGCTGCGCCAAAGGACTGCTACATAGATCTCCACAAGTCCCGTCTGTAATGTACCGCACCAGACCGGCCCCGCACAGGAACGACCACTAACCAGCAACGGCTCCCGCACAACACCGCACCGCACACCAGACCGGGTCCCAACGCCACACTACACCGCACAGCAACGTATACCACACTACACCGGTACTGTACAAAATATAAATAGTACGAGTATTGTACTTTGCACTCCTAAACAGCCTGCTTTCTGATTGAATGCAGCTAGCATCCGGCTGCGAGCATGCATCTTGTCTGTTCAGTCATCGAACTTTGGGTCAGAAGCAACTTGTTTTTATGATTAAAACTACAGATCAGTTTACTTGTAAAAATAGGAATGCATTACTAGATGTACCTGCTGCAAACAATGCAAGATTTATACTGGTCGGAGGAAACTTAGTAGTCGTACCGTGCTGACATCCACCGGGAACAGCCGCGCGTAAGTGCCTTAAAAGATGTTTTTTGCATATTTAAAAACACATATTACAAATTAATACGATTATAATGACATACAGATACATGCTTCAACTAAAAAAGCGGTATTTAACATTTTTTTATGTGAAATGTGAAATTCAGCGGTTCGTAGCTTGAAATCCGTCAACTCACCGGCACGGACTACTACCGAAGGAACGTCCGGCCTTGGAGCAACAGAATGAGCCAACCGACTCTCTCCAAGTTGACCGGCCGGATCCGACCGACCCACCCGCTCGAGAATGAGGAGACGCTGAATGCGTCGGAGGAGTTGCAGAATCGACTTTCTCCAACGACACCACATAAGTGTCACTAACTATCTCTTCGGCACCACATAAGTACCTTGAACCAGCTCGAGAACCAACCTGGCCCGACCGTAGTAAATATAGGGTGTAAAATCATTGGATTAACCGAGTAGCATGCTTTCAAGAACGGAGTGCTTAACTTTTGTTTTGATGGACGCGAACGGAAGCGTTCACCAAGGATTGCAGAAAATGCAACGAAAACGCGTCGGCACAGGGCAGAAGATTCCCATGTGCGGAATTTATCATCACGGACGAACAAGCCCCAAACATTGGAATGAGATCGCACGCCGAAGCGGCGGCACTTTACATAAATGTTATCGCGGGAAACTTAAGCGCAAAAAGACGCCTGGCCAGCAGCGAATGCCTAGTCGACCAGTTGGAAGCCTATGAACAGGATCATTTGGCAACCATCCACGACAACGAAGTTCCGAAGTCGTATGGACGAACACTTGTCAACCGGTATCTTCGAGTGGCAACAGCAACAAGACCTCAAACGACAGAAAGAAAAACAGGAGAAACTTCTCGCAGTTGACGAAAAGATTGCCAAAATGAAGATCCATCCGCCACCGACCCGTCATGAACCGAAGATAACTGTTTAATTTCAGCACCAGCACACACAGGGCGGCTCGGACTCCGAACAAGTGGTTCATAACATACGTGAAGTCTTTGTTGGAGACCCCAACCGATCACTCCAAAGTGTGTCAATGAAGATGAGGATACAGATGGAGGACGGAACCCAGCGGATGGTTACAGATGGAGGACGGAACCCAGCGGATGGTTACAGATGGAGGACGGAACCCAGCGGATGGTTACCTTCACTCCGGCCACGGCAGAACAGATGAGGGCTGTCCACAGGAGGGGTTACACAAGCCCAACCAACTGTGTCCCAGCAGATTCCACCACCTGGACCATCGGCACAGCCAGTGGTCTCATCGTCGAAGTAACAGCACCAGCGCCGACCGGCTAAGAATTTGGCGGGACACGACCTCCGACACAAACTGGGCCACGATCTCCGACACAGAATCGAAGAGCAACGGGCCATCATCAGAGAGTTTAGAAAGAAAGCTACCAGACCTTCACCCGGCAGACGAACCGGATCTGGCGAAACAGGAATTGGACTGGTCGTCGACTCAATTAGTAAGTCGAAAAGGAACTTCCTCCCATCTGAACAACAGCCGGATGCCCACATGGCGGAACCTGCAGCTCAACCAGAAACTCAACCGGAGCAAATGGAAGTGGACGTGGCCGACCAGATGGCACAGTTACCACGTTGAAGTGCCGGCCCGAGAGGACCCTTGCTACCACCTCGCCCGACAACAGGGAATCGAAATTGTCTTGCAACATCCGACTGAACGGACAAACTACATTATGGACACCATGGATTACGAAGAACGACATTGCCCACAAGTTTCGCGTATGGTGGAGAATCTACGGCAGTTCCTCATGCAATCCGGATACCAGACGCTACTAGAACAACATCAGTGGCTGCCGGGCTTTAACATGGCTACTCACACCGACCAGAATATGGAACATCCATATGACCAAGCGAATGCGTTACCATCGATGACCGACCCGGCCCTGCTGAACGTACCGTTGTACAGCCCGGACTGGCCACGATTGAGCCAACTCGGCGTTCGGGAATGCCAGCATGACGAGTTGAAGAGCATTGCCCAGTTCGTCATCACCGACCCCCACCCGTCTTTTGTTATCACCGCAGCTCGGGCAGCCTTGGACTTGCTCCAGTATCTCCCACAAGAGGAGATGGATCTGGCCAAGAACTGCGTAGCTGCGATACTACGATACCTTTTCGCGGCGAGATTTGGCACTTACTTTTGCCATTACACCCTGTATGAATGCTGCCGGAATCAACCGATACCACCAGCGTTTAAAACCATAGTGGCCCAACTTGGATCGGTGATGCGCAGTATCATCCCTGCCATATGGTTACGAGACCTGCTTTATACCCACGAGCGACACGCTAAGTGATACGCCTTCCGGAAGGACGAAAGAGACCCGCACGACGACGCAGCGGACTTCGTGAGGTGGTACCGCGAGAAGAAGATGATACCTAGCGGATTCACCTCACTGCCCTACGAAGAAGCGACGTCCGACGACCTGGCACCTGGTGCACGACCGCTTGCACAAAAGCTGCGGAAACAGGTAGCCCAAGCAAAGAAGTCTCAGGCGGAACATCCGGGCCATGAAACGGAAGGCGATAGTGCGTCCCAACGAAGCAGCTCTGTAAGCTGCAAACCAAAGGAGGCTTCATTACGCCCACTTCGCCGACCAAACCGGACGAAGACGAGGAAGACCACTTCGGCGGCGAACCGCCGGTCCATATTAGCTTGGAAGAAGGGAGGTTTGCACATGGAATCTAGTCCCTCACTCGAACAGCCCAAAGGGACTTTATGCCGAGAAACGGGATGGTCGAGAAACGACCCGGCTGAGAACCTGCCTAGCTGAGAGCCAGCACCGTCGAGAAGTACATAACGACACGACTTCATGCTAAATTAGGCTGTCCGTCACCGATATCAAAATCGTTAATCGTTCAGCGAAAACATAATCAGCAGAAACCAAAAGGTCAAAATTATTTTGTATAAAATAGAAAAGAGAACTGACTCTTAGATTAAAAAGGTCTAGATCTACATTGCACCTTTTTGTATAGCCGGTACCGCAAAGTTCTGTGGTACGCGTACTTAACTATTTGCAATATGCAGCCCAAGTTATGTGGGCAATTACGATTTGTTGGATAAGAAACTGGTGATTGGCTGTGGGTTGGGTTTGTTATAGCGTTAGGTCAACGAGGAGCAATTTTCCCGTTAGCCGCGCGTCCTGTTTGGCCCTACCGGGGCCTAAAACATCACAAGCTACCTTGGTCGACCATCGATGTACGGAATGGCCGACCAGTCGTCGTATACCAATACGACCGACCACTCGTCGTATACCATTGCGACCGACCACTCGTCATCATTGTGAGCGACTACAGGTCGGCTAATAGCGGAACGCTTGGCATACAGTAACTGCCGATCATCATGTGGTCGGATGGAAGTGCTACTCCTGGCCACAGAAGCGTAAGGTAATAGTCAACCGACCATTTCCACCGACAGAACTTCAAATTTCCGACCGGACCTTCGAGCCATTTCATCTTGGATAAAGTCATAACCAGGCTCGTGATAGCAGACTGAACGATTTTAACCGACCACTTTTGAACGGAATTATTGTACCTGGCGACCACAGAAGTCGCATGACACAGGTATGTTTCTCTCCGACCTGAATCTTGGAATTCGGAAAACTTAGCCGGATCCCCACGCCGCCGGTTGACTTACCGGTAGGCCGACCTGGGTCAACCGACCTCGGTCCACCACCCCCATTTAGATAGGATGCTTCGGCATTCGCAACCGCGACAGTGCCTCTCCATTCGCAACGGACGGATACGAATCGGAAGTAAGTGTTCAACCGTGATTACCCGACTTAAGTGAAATTAACCGGTTACAACGGGTAACCCGGGAACCGACGCCCCGGACCCAGAACATCGGACAACATTGGACAGGAGACGTCATCCTAGTCAGAATAAAGCTCCCGGACTGATATTTGCATTTTTTTTAGCATTTTGCTAGAATTCTTTCCTAACAAACGGAATTGTATTTGTGTAGCTGGATCTCTCTAACCGATTGTTTTGTTTGACTCTTTGCTCACTGGAATTGTGATTAAACTTTATTTCATGTTTTTCTTTTGAGCTGTATAAACTTTCATTACATACTTTTTTTACATTTTCTCCGGTGCGAGCTAAAACATGCCGGCCAACAGACGCATTACCAGTCCAACGAAACGCCCAAGCCACTTCCGGATTTCTCGGCCGTAAGGTGCTTGCCTCTCAGGGGTCCGGAAGGCAACGATGGGACGGTCGACGAGACACCGGGCTCCCTGTTGCCAGAGGACGCGTATCGGCGATCCCACATGGGTCCAACCAAAGAGTGTGCGGTACACTGGTGCGGTACCGAGTCTGAGCATTCTCCCGGGAGCTCGGATTCCCACCCAGAGGCATATCAGGCGTACGAGCCTGCGCGAGGTACTCCGCCCATACTTGGCCTACTTGCACTCACGCACATGCTGTATTCGCCTCTCTCATGTACGTACATGTGCTGCTGCACTGCACTCATCCGCTGAAGCGGATATACCGGTTATAGTCCAATTTAGGGATACCTCTCAGAAATGAGTTTTCTATAGCACATTTTGTTCAGAAAAAAATCTTGCGTCGAATGCTATGTGAATCATGTGGTTCTGAGATCACGTGACCAAGTTTTGAATTTATGCAATCATTTTGTGGGAATTCAGTTAAAATTCTCTCGTGCGCATGACGTCATATACGCGTCATAAGTTAATGGTACGTTCGATTCAGAAA